AGGACAGGCCGCACCCCCACCTGCCTGCGCACCCTGCCCTTAGCTCGAAGACATGTCCAGGGCCGTGTGGGGGGCGTGTCACTGTCACCCTCGCATGCATGCGAGGCTCATGAGCAGAGTGGGGCTGGCGCCGTGTCTTGCAGGTCCTGCGGGACATCCTGAAGGAGGTGCAGGGCAACATGGTGCCCCGTAGCATGCTGAAGGAGTGGGCACTGCACGCACTGCCCAATGCCACCGACTACTGGACCTTCCGGAAGATGTTCACCATCCAGCTGGCACTTATTGGCTTTGCCGAGTTCGTGCTGCACCTCAACCGCCTCAACCCCGAGATGCTGCAGATTGCTCAGGTAGTGCAGCACTGCTCCCCAGCCGCACCCCCCCCCCCCTCCAGGTCACTGAGGCATTTGACACACACACACCCTCCCCCCCCACAGGACACGGGCAAGCTGAATGTCGCCTACTTCAGATTTGACATCAACGACGCCACTGGGGACCTGGACGCCAACCGGCCCGTCCCGTTCCGCCTCACCCCCAACATCTCCGAGTTCCTCACCACCATCGGCGTTTCGGGCCCGCTCACTGCCTCCATGATTGCCGTGGCCCGCTGCTTCGCTCAGCCCAACTTCAAGGTGGGTCTCTGGGCCCTCACTCTTGGGTTACAGGTTCACATGCACAACTGCCTCTGACCTCGGCGGCCACTGACTGAGGTTGGTCACTGCCCAGGGCTCAGGAGTCCTATGGGGCCGCTCCCTTTGCTGTGCTCCTAGAGCGGCATTTGCAGAGCCACAGTCAGGGTGGCTGGGTCTGCAGCCAGGGGCCCTGGGACCCAGGGTCGGGGTGGGGAGGGAGGGTGACCCCCTGGGATTGATGAGCCAGAGGAGCCACTTTGAGAATGGGGTTCCTTGCTGGACAGCAATTTGCACTTCGAGAAGGCATCAGGAATTGATTTGGAGCAACATGTACTCAGACCCGTTTTTAAATTGCATGAATGCTTATCCATACAGTGCATGCACTCTCAACTTATTTATTTTGTCAATCATGGAGCTTGAGAGAGAGCCTGGGCGCTCTCTGGGCTTTTTTACTCAAGACTAGCGCTGTACCACTTGAGCCACAGCTCAGTGCCACTTCCAATTTTCTGGTGTTTCGTTAGAGATGTCTCACCCACTTTCCTGCCTGGGCTGGCTTTGAGCTGCAATCCTTAGATCTCAGCCTCCCGAGTAGCTGGGATTATGGGGGGCATATTGTCATTTTTAATGACTTGGAAAGGGAAGTGCTGAGGCTTGAACTGAAGGCTTCACCACGTGAGCCACACCTACTCTTTTGTTGTTCTGCTTTTGTTGCTATTTTCTTTCAAATAGAGCCTTCTTGTGTTTTTGCCTAGACTAGCTTGGACTATGATCCTCCTATGAGATGACAGAGGCACACCCCATACCTAGTTTAGGTTGAGATGGGCTCTTGTTTGCTTTTGACTGGTTCAGAGTTAGCCTTAACTGTGACCCTTCTGCTAACTACCTAAGTAGCTGACATTACAGGTAGGAACCATCACCTCTGGCAAAGTGGTTTTTGGTTTTGTTTTTTGGGGTTTTTTTGTGTGCTGGGATCAAACCTGGGCCCCATACTCTACCCCCAGTGAAGCCTGCTCCTTCCTCACTGTAATGCAGATGTCAAGTTGGCTGCCTCTGGGCAAGTTCTTGTTCTGGTAGCAGTGTCCCATTTAGGGCTGTCCCGAGCTGCTGCACACTGTAATTTTAGCTGTTTGGGAGGATGGTGTATCTAGGCCAGCCCAGCCCAGGCCTGTGTTTGTAAGGCCCCTTGTGAGGCCTGTGGGACTCGGGTGGCCACCTCGCATCATAGGTTTGTGGGAAACTAGGTTGAGATTGTGGTTTGGGGCTACCCCAGGCCGGGAAGCTCAGGAGACTGTCTGGACTGAGTCATTGCTTCTGTGAGTGAAGGCTGAAACAGGCGGATTAAGGTCCACCTTGGCACGACACTGTCTCAGAGGGAGCCAGGGCAGAAACAGCTGGAGGTGTGGTTCAGCGCTGCAGTGCCTGCCCAGCCAGTGTGAGGCCCTGAGGTCTGACCCTTATGGTCCTTAACTTAAATGGCAGTTCTCAGCCCTGTGGGGTGCCCCTGATCCCAGACGTCCCCAGCAGACCTCAGCGGCCCTGTCCTGGAATGGCACTGCACTCATGGCTGCCACTCTGGCGCTGAGTGCCATGGCCTCGCTGTTGTCCATGCTACCCCTCCCTTCCCCTCCCCTCCCCTTCCGTCCCACGTGAGTCTGCAACCATGGAGTCCAGGCACTGGGGCGGAGGGGACCCGGGCTCCTGCTCACCACTCCCTGGTAGGATCCTAATAATGGGGTGGTGCAGGCTTCCCGCACTCTCAGGCCAGAAGGGAGGGGCACCCCCTGTCACCCGTCAGGGTGTGGGGCACCGAGTCCTGACTGCTTCCCGCCCTGCCACGCAGGTGGATGGCATCCTGAAGACGGTGCTCCGCGATGAGGTGATCGCGTGGCACAAGAAGACGCAGGAGGACACGTCGTCGCCACTTTCGGCCGCCGGCCAGCCTGAGAACATGGATGGCCAGCAGCTTGTGTCACTCGTGCAGAAGGCCGTCACCGCCATTGTCACGCGCCTGCACAACCTGGCACAGTTTGAGGGTGGCGAGAGCAAGGTGAACACTCTGGTGGCCGCGGCCAACAGCCTGGATAACCTGTGCCGCATGGACCCCGCCTGGCATCCGTGGCTGTGACCCCACGCCCGCCGGTGGCTTTGAGTGGAACTCCCGCGCCATGTGGGCGGGCTGAGCCTCCCCCAGCGCCCTGCCCACACATGGCTTTTTAAGGACCCGGTTCTCGGCTCAGCCGAGGAAGTCTTTTTAATGGTGCTCTCCGTGGGGTGGGCCTCTCCCCACGCGCACTCCCTCCCGCAGGTGAGGCAGGGGTGCTGGGTGCAGCTGCAGGGCGTGGCCGGCTGCGCTCAGCCCCGCCTCCCCACGCCCGCCTCCCCCGCGCTGCGCGTGGCCACCCTCGAGCCCTGTAGCCCTCGTGATCAGTGTGCCCGGATCGATCCCCCTCCTAATTTAAGAAGAGCCTGTGGCGCGCGTGCCCCGTGGCTCTCCGTTCACGTTTTTATAACCTGGCTTTGAGAGCGCTCTATCGGAATTTGTACAGTGTGATTGTTTTTTAGAATAAATATTTTATAAAGGGGTTTGCGTGGTGCCTGCTGCTGTGTGGCCTCCACCTCACCCCTGCCCGAGCGGGGGATCCCCGACAAAGCCCGTGCCGTCCTGCCAGCCTCACCCGTGGGGGTTCGGGAATGGCGCGGCTGGTCCGGGCTGCTGCGTCACACTTTTCACACTTGGGCGTGCTGGGAGGAGACTTGACCCAAGTCGGGCCCAGGGCCAAGGTGAGTGGGAGAGTGTTGTCTCCTGGTGCTAGAGCAGACAGGGCGGGCAAGGCACTGTCGCGCACACCTTCCACTCAGGACACGGCCTGATGGTGCATCTGGCTGATGCTTGAGCAGCCATGGTACCCAGACTGGAGAACATTCCAGATTCTGACGGAAATAGACCCAAAGGAATGTGCAGGGGCGCCGGCGCCCACCATGGCTGGGCCGGACACCCTGGATTGCGGCCGTGGAGTCGGCTGAGTGCCGAGGGGCTGAGGGAGGCCCAGCCAGGACCTGGCACAAGGGCCTCGAGCACCTGAGAAACCACCATTGTCTGCCCCAGAGGACAGCACTCGCCGCCAGGCCGGCAGCAAGCAGCAGGGAGGGCCCAAAGGGAGATGCCCAGTAAGGCAGAGAGTCGGGATCCATTTCTAACAACAAAACCCTACCGCAGCCCAAGCAAAGAGGAAAGTGCACACGGCACAGACTTACCAGACCAAGACAGGAAACTATTTCCCGAAACATGCTGAAAGAGCATGCGCCAAGGAAGACGTGTCCAACGGAACACGGGAGCCAACGCAGAACCTCTGCGGAACCTCAGCGAACACGCTAGGGGACCCAGAGAGCCTGCGGCCAAAGGCACAAGGAGAAAGACTGGAAGCCCGGATGAACTGGTGCGCGGTTGGGCAGAAAGCAGACTGGCTGCTGGGAAGGCGGGGCGCAGGGGGCGCTAACGTTAACGAGGGGCGAAAGGAAGAGGAGGCGGAAAAAAACGCCCTGACGCTCAATCAGGATCTCGTCCACCCCCGGCCGCAGAGGCCGCGGATCGAGCGCTCCACGCGCTGCAGCAACGACCAGGCAGAACGAACGCCGCAACAAAAGCCGCCATGCGAGACAACGCCGCACGTGATCGTGAGTTTATTGCATGTGTAACAAAATGGACCCGGCCGCGCGCCCCGCCCGCGACGCGACGCGCCGCTCCCCTCCCCCTCCGCGGCGGCGCGGGCGGGCGGGCTAGCAGCACTCCCAACACGACGTTACAAAATAAATTAAAAATACATTATAAAGTGGTTGAGAAACAAAAATAAACCGATTTTTAAAATCCATACTATGTTTCAGGAAGGCCTCGGCGGCGCGTGGCCAGGCGCGTGGGGCCGGAGCCGCACGGGGCAGCGTCTCGGTGGGCGCCGCGGTTCCCCGCGGCCGAGGCTGCGCGGGGTTCGCTGCATCCCTGAGTGCGGCCGCGCCCTGAAGCTCACGGGCGGGCGGGTGGCGCGGGTGGACAGGCAGGCCCCGCACGGCCCCGCGGTGCTGGGACGGAGCGGAGCGTACGGCGCAGGGCTGCGCTGCTCGGGCCGGGAGTGACGTCGGGCCTGGCCGTAGGCGCGGCGGCGGCGGCGGGCCCCGTCCCCCTCGTCTGCCCCACAGGGCAAGGCAGGAGCGTGAGTGGAGTGAGGCTGCAGGCCGCGCCGGGCAGGGTGGTCGGCGCCGCCGCTCGCGCACGCTCGGTGGGCGGCCGTGTGCGGGGAGAGCCGGACGCGGGCAGCGGGGGCGGCTGGTCCCCTGTGCTGCCACCCGCCGCCGCACGCACGCACGCACGCGCGCGCGCGCGCGCGGCCGATGCTCTGGTCTGCGCTGTCCCACGTGGCCGCGGGGCGGGTGGCGCGCAGCCGGACTCGGGCACACACACACCGCCGCCGCCGCCGCCCTCTCACAGCTCGCTCACGAGGCCGAGGCGAAACCTGCTGCGCTTTACTGGATGGCGATGGAGGGAGGGCGGGTGGAGGGTGCGGGGCCACCGTGGCGGTTCCCCGTCCTCCCGCCCGGGCCAGGAGGGCAGCGGCCGCTCCGCGGCGATCCGCTCCGCTCTGCTGCGTGCTCACGAGGCGCCGGCCGCGCTCACTCCACGGCGAAGCCGCACGTCTCCTCCACGGCCGTCAGCAGCTTCTCGTACAGCTTCTCGAAGGACTCGTAAGGCGGGATGTCGATGCGGTTAAAGCTGCGGGCAGGGCGGGCAGGCAGGGCAGCTGGGGCGCGGGCGGCCAGGCGCAAGGCCGCCACCTCCCCGTGTCCCAGGCCGCAGCCTCCGGGCGACCAGGAACGCGGGGCCCGCGACCCCCAACCCTGGCCTCTGAGGGTGCCATGACCCCCCGAGAATCGAACTCAGGGCCCCTTTGCAGTTACTTCTGCCACTTTTCAGCAGAGGAGGGCCGAGTTTCCAGAAGGAAAGGGGAGCCACAGCTCTGCTGAGCAGCACGAGGCCGCGCCGGGCGCCGGGCGCGGCGGACTCACCAGGTGTGGGCCTTGGGCAGGTTGTCGGTGTTGGCGTCGATGAGGTGGATGGTGAAGAGCCGGGGCCCTGCCGCGCCTGTAGAGCCTTACAACAGAGCGTGGTAGTTAACGCGCTCAGAGCCCGCACCGGCCCGCTCCGCCCTCCCCGCACCCACCGCAGGCTCCCGCCAGGCCGCGGCCCAGCCTCGGGAGCATGCGCAGACACTGCACGGGAGGCCCCCCGCCCACCTGGCCGTCCTGGCTCCGGGACCGCAAGCCGGTCAGCGCCGGCCGCTGGGCACCCCGGGACAGCCGAGGCTCGGCCTGGGCTTTGTGGACTCGGCCTGGCCTCGCTCGCGCTCGCGCTCGCCTGCCTCTCCTGAGGCGAGCTCACATGCGCGCCCCTCTCCCTGCGCTCCCGCGTGCGCGCTCCTCTCTGGGCAAAGCCAGGAGAGCCAGTACCCCGTGTGGAGAAAAGGGGTGCACAGCGGCCTGAAGGCGAACACGAGTCTGTGCGCGGGCGCCAGGCCGGGCCCTACTCCCTAGGGAGACGTCGAGCAGTGGAGCTGGAGCTGCAGCGTCTCCGGGGAATGCGCCACGCTGCTGCGCCCCGCACCCACCCCACTGCGCTTCTCAAGCTCATCGGGACTCCAATCCAGGTGCCGGGGCCGGGCGGGACCCTCCCTGTTGGGCCACCTGAGCCCACGGCCCTGCCGCCCCTCCAGCCCTCTTGGCTAGTTGAAAGCGGTGAGGACACGGGAGCCCCACGCTGTCACACGGCAGCACGCGCCGTGTTCCCCGAGCCTGGCGCAGAGGCCCCGCCTCCCCTTCAGTCACCTTGCAGAGCCTTGAAGCCTTGCAGAGGAACACGGGTGGAGCCGGTCACGAACTGCAGGAGCCTGGCCCTCCGCTCCTCATCGAAGGTCTCCACCGCCTGCCAGAACCAGCGCACGATGCTGCTGTCGGCCGCACAGTGCTTCAGCCGCGTGTTGGACTTCCAGTCACTCACGTCGATCTTGTCCAGGCCGCCGATTATTAGCTGCAGGGGGGCTGTGGTCACCCCCATGCCGCCAGCCCCAAGTACCCCCAGGCCTGCTCATCACTGGGGCCGGGCTTGTGCAGCCCACCCACGGGACCCACCGCCCACCCCATGGCTCCAGGTGCTCTGCATCTGGAAGTGTAGAAGGCAGCAAGGCGGGACAAGGAAGGGAGCCTTGTTCAAGTGTGAAAGGCAGTTAGTAGACAGCCGCCCTTACTGTCTATAAACCACAAATGGGAAGCTTCCTGTGGGGCCTGTGGGAAGGCCAGCAAGCATCCATGCCAGGGCCTTCAACACCTGGAGCTGACCCAGGACACTTCCGAGTCGCTCAGCGCTGCCAGGGGCCCTGTGCCACCTGACGGCTCCCGCTTGACTCCCAACCCTGTCCGTCCTGGCAGCCGCCCATCCTACTGGCAGCCAGGCTGGGCCTCGCACACACACCTCTAGTTCCTTCTGGTCGAAGGGCTTCAGGAGGTGCTGCGGGATGAGTTCATTGAAGCCCTTGTGCAGTGCCAGGAACTGCGCCTCGATTCCTCTCATGAACCTCCAGTTCACATAAAGCCTGCAGCCAAACCTGCACGTCAGGGGCCCCGCAGCTGCTGGCGGCGGCCCCGGGAGCTGGTGCAGATGCCGTGGTGAACACGCGCAGCCGCTGTGGTCGGAGTGTGTGGAGCGGGCGCGGGGCATGGCACTGGCTTACCGCACATATTCCTTCTTGTTGTCCTCGGTGACCGGCACATTCCGGCCATTGGGCTTCAGCTCGTGCTGGAGAATGCGCCCAAAGGCATTGTGCTCCACGCAGAACGTGTGGTCCAGCACCGGGGTGATATCGTTCTCCCTGTCCGTGGGAGGGCTGTGTGAAGGTGGGCTGAGGGTGCAGGAGAAGGGAGGCGCAGGGGTGGGGGGGGGCCTGTGTGGGGAGGCGAGGCTCCGCTTCCCAGACCACCGTTCACAACAGAAGCGAGTGTGCGCATCATGGCGTGGGGGGGACGCCGGGGAGACACACGTGGCTAGGCCAGCATGGGGGACACAAGCCAGCCTGGGAATCGTGACCGTTGCGGCTGTAATGCATTCCCAAACTGGACCCAGGCCCAGACAGGTGTGCACGCACACACACTCACACGGGGGGCCAGGGACTCACAGGATCCACACCAGGCTCTTGTGCAGCTCGGGGTCCACCGACTCGAGGTCGGACAGCTGGATGGGCTTGCCCAGCAGCTGCTTGTAGAAGGGCACCGTGAAGCCACCGTTGATGTGGTGCCCGTGGAACACGGCCAGCCCCATGATCCGCCCCACGAAGTGGAAGTAAGACAGGTGGTCCTGGGGATCAGAGAGCATTGTCAGAGCGTAGCAAGGGATGAAGCGGCGTCCCCCCCCCAGCCTCCCCGCTTCCTGAGGGCCAGTGCCCCTTGGGGCCAAGCGGCACGAGGCCCCTCGATTGCTCATCTAGAGCAATGTCGTCCATGGAGGGCAGCAGGCCGTTTTTGTTTTGTGACGGCGTCTTGCTGTCTAGCCCACACCCGCCTCCACATCTTGAGAACCTCCTGCCTTAGGGATTATAGCTGCGCCCAACCCTGCCCAGCTTAAACATTCACACACACAGGCTGGTCTTCAGAACTGGGCCACCACTGTGTCCCCGGCGGAGCACTGGCCAGCAGGGAGCCCTCCCTGGGGGAGTGGGGGGGGGCAGATCCTCCTTCCTCTGCCACCCCACCCTAGGGACAGGGTGTGCAAATAAGCCATGAAAGAAGTAGACAAGCCATTCTGAAACTAGAGCTGGGCTGGGTTTAATAAAGGAATTTCACATTTCTGTGTTCAGGTCTGAATGCAAATCATCAGAGAAAGTGGGTGAGAATGTCACAGGTCACATGTAGAGCGAGCGGCCTGCCTCTCGTACCCTGCACGTGGGGAAGGGAGAGGCAGTCCCTGGGGGAGGACAAGGCCCCTGGGGCCAGGTCAGAACTTTACACACCGGGTTGATGGCGGAGTCGGGGTTGATCTGCAGCATGTAGATGTTGTCCGTGGAGTACTGGAAGAGGCCATAGTAGGGGTTCAGCATTTCGTGGCACAGCAAGTACAGCCACTCCCTGGGAAGAAGAGCAGCACGGCTGACTCCTGCAGTCTAGGCCTATCAGCTGGAAGCCGCCCACTATTCAGAGGGCGTGGCATATGCAGCCTGGCAAGCGTCCTGCGCCTTGTGCAAGCCAAGGGCTGTCCTTTGGCCTGGCAGATCCCCTATGGAGGATCTAACACCTAACTGATTAGCGGCCAATCACAGAAAAGCAACCCCCTTGCAAGGCTCAGGTCGCAGACGACAACGTGACATGAGGCAGCCTCAGGTGAGGACCCACTGGGCCTCCCTCGAGACTCCTCCAGTGATGAGCTTTGATCACCTGAACACAGCATAGTCCAGGGAAAGCAGGGAGCTGAACGCAAAGCACCAGGCCCTATGTTTCAGATGTTTCAAACATGACTAGAGTGTGGCTCAAGGGGTAAAGCATACCCCTGCCCAGCAGTGTGAGACCCTGAGTTTAAACCCCAGTACTGCAGGGAGTGGGCCAGGAAGGCCAAAAGTACCTGCAGCACTAGGAGACAAGAGGAACGTGCTCCTAGAAAGAAGGTGAGGGGTGAAAGACAACAGAGTAGCCACTCAACCAGCAAAAAGTCAGGAGTAGAGTTTTGCTCAAGTTGTAGAACACCAGCTATATGAGAAAAAGACAAGCAAGAGCACGAGGCTCTGAGTTCAAGTCCTACTATCAACATGTACATATGTTCACCAGGCACCAGTGGCTCACGCCTGTAATCTTAGCTCCTCAGGAGGCTGAGAGCTGAGGATCGCGGTTCAAAGCCAGCCCAGGCAGGAAGGTTGGTGAGACTTATCTCCAATTAAACACCAGAAAACCAGAAGTGGCACTATGGGTTCAAGTGGCAGAGTGCTTGCCTTCAGCTGAAGAGCTCAGGGACAATGCCCAAGCCCCACAACTGATCAAACATGTACATATGGGGTCAAACATGTACATATGCTCAATGGGTGTGTGTACCATTTGCACATGCAAGTGCACACACGTCTCAAGAGTAAAAAGGGGAAGTAACTGTTCTGGAAGATACTTAAACTGATGAGAGACTAGAAGAGGGAGAGGGGAGCGGCATGGTTCAAAGCTGGAACACTTGCTTACGTAGTTCAGAACAGTCCAGCAAATGAAAAGAAGAAAATCCCCAGACAAAATAAATTACAGAATACAATCTAACCTCTTAGTGAACCATGTTTACACACTGTCATAATAAAGGCAAGAGACTGCAGATTTAATTTGGGTTACAGAAAAAAATGTTAACCAACACTAATGACAAGAAAGTAATGGTCTTCATGACAGGATTTTAAGAGGCAGAAGGTAGAAAGGAGAACAGGGGAAAAACATCCATTACCGAACCAGAGTGCTAGATGCCCTGTCCACCAGCTGTCAGTTGTGTGTGCTGCTCTTGGGCTTGAACTCAAGACCAAGGTGCTGTCCCTGAGCTTTTTTGCTCAAGACTTTACCACTTGAGCCATAGCTCTACTTCTGGCTTTTTGCTGGTTCACTGGAGCTGTAGGTGTGAACCACTGGTTCCCAGCTGGTTTTGTTATTTTATTCTATAAAATAGTTTAAAATCGCCGGGGGCCGGTGGCCCATGCCTGTAATCCTAGCTACTCAGGAGACTGAGATCTGAGGATCACGGTTCAAAGCCAGCCCAGGCAGGAAAGTCCATGAGACTCTGATCTTCAATAAACCAATAGAAAACCGGAAGTGGCGCTGTGGCTCAAGTGGTAGAGTGCTAGCCTTGAGCTGAAGAGCTGAGGGACAGCGCCCAGGCGCAGAGTTCAGGCCCCACGACCGACCAAAGAAAAAAAAAAAAAATTCAGTTTAAAATCATTTCCTTGAATTACGCTGGCCACACCCTCACCATTTCGCACGAGTCCTGTGGCACAACACAACTGGCATGCCGCCTCGTCCCGCCGTGCCATCGCTTGCGGTGAGGTGGGGGCTGAGTTTAGAGGCTGAACTGAGAGTTTAGTGGGTGACGGCCGGGGTCCCCATGCAGTGCCAGCTAACGCCGGCCCTGACGGCCCCAAGGGCTTGGGCACAGCCCTGTGCATTAACATGACACAGAAGCCGCCAGGGCAAACATGGGCAAAAGGCAGACAGGACTCTCACCTGGCCACGCCACCGTAGTCTAAGCCCTCCTCTCCGCGGAACTTCACCATGAGCCGCTTCTTCAGGTCTTTAGGCCGCATCTTCATGATCTGCCTGTAAGACTCCTACAAGGCAAGCCACACTTCAGACAGAGGGATGTACGTACATGTGTGTGTATGTGTGCGCACGCACGCACACCCACTCACACCCACTCACAGATAAACCATACAACATCTATGCCAGTGCTCATCTGTCCTGTTCCCTGACCTTGAGAACCTTCCACCCTCCCCTCCCCCACAGCACCTCTCCTCCAACGAAGGTGACCATGCACCCTCCTGTGTGAGGCACTGCCGACACTGAAGGACTGAGAGTGTAAGCACTGAACGTGGGGAAGCGGGGCACGGTGGCTCATGCCTGCAATCCCAGCTACTTAGGAAGCAGAGATCAGGAAGTTCAAGGTTTGAGGACAGAAGGAAATACAACTCTGTGTTCAGCATCCTAAGGATATTTCTCCATGAGCCCTAGGGAACAACATATATATTTTAACCAAAGAGAAGCTGCCATGAGTCTGAGCATCACAGGATTTTGTGAAAAACACTCAGGATCACACTGAGTTCAGAGCAAAGGAGTTGGTGAGGGAAGTGGCAGCAGGCGCCTCAGTGGAGAGGCCTCCCGTGCAATGCTGGGGAGGGCTGTGCTTACTAAGGTGTGGGTGGAGGTCAGCACTATGGGCTACTGCCCCAGGGCCAGCGTCCTCTCCTGAGAGAGAGGGGACGCAGGGGAGAAGCAGGAGAGGGAGCTTTGGCTCTGAGGTGGAGGTCTGCCTCTGAAGCCTCCCTCAGCGCGGACAGATCACAAGGTCATTTTTTTTTTTTTAAGACTTTAGGAATGGAATCCAGGGCCCTCTCTTAACACTCAAGTTCATGTTCCTTTTTTGGTGGTGCTAGTTTTGAACTTAGGGACTCAACATTTGCTACTCAAGTGCTCTGCCACTTGAACCACATCCCCTACCTTTTTTTGTTTTTTGTTTTGGCCTATCATGGGGCCTGAACTCTAGGCTGGGCGCTGTCCCTCACCTCTTGAGCTCAAGGCTAGCACTCTACCATTCAAACCTTAGTGCCACTTCTGGCTTTTTCTGCTTATGTGGTGCTCCTGAGGACTCGAACCCAAGGCCTCATGCATGCAAGGCAAGCACTCTACCACTGAGCCACCTTCCCAGCCTGCTACCTTTTCTTTTTACTTGTTTTTCAGATAGAAACTCGAACTTTTGCCTAGGACAGCATCTGTCCTATTTTGGTCTCCATCTACACAGCTGGGATTACAGATGTGAACCAATAGACTGGGCTTGTTGGCAGATAGTGTGGTTTAGCTAACTTCTTCCCCAAGCTAGCCTCAAACACCCACCTTCCCGTTCTCTGCTTCCTAAGTAGCTGGGGTTGCAGGCATGAGCCACCATGCCCCGCTTTTCCAAGTTCAGTGCTTACACTCTCAAGTCTATCAGTGTTGGCAGTGTCACACAGGAGGGTGAGATGTGGTCCAACCACCACCACCATTTATTCCTCATGATCATATTCTCCCTGCTCCGGGGCCTTGATCCTGTGGGGAGTGGGGGGTGGGGGCCTTAGCCCCCCCAGGTCCAGAGCAACAAGGAGAGCAGAGGTGATCTGTGGACCTTCGCAGACCAGGATCGCATCCGCGACATGGTGCGGAGGGATTCACCACAGGCGCCAAGCCATCGGAGTCCACGGAGCCGTAAACCCATCCGCGGCTCTGAGGTGGGAACCCCAGGCACCGCCCCTGGTGCTCTCCCAAAGGCCTGCAACGCACCTCGAAGATCTCCTCGCGGGAGACCTCGATGCGGCAGTGTCCAGCCTGGGGCTGCTGCAGAGACAGCTCGTGGCGGAGCACCTTCAGCTTCTGGACCAGGTCCCGCTCGTAGCGCTGCGCCGGCAGCTCCTCCTCCTCCAGGGAGCCCTCGCTGGGCAGCGGCGGCGGCTGGCTCGGCTCCTTCAGCTGGCACTGGTGACTGCGGGAGGGCGGCCCGTCATGCATGGAAGGGCCACGGGGAGCTCGGGGTCACGGGGGGGGGGGGGGGGGGGAGGCCTTGCGGTCACGGGGGGGGGGCTGAGCTGGCGGTCACGGGGGGGGGGGAGGCCTTGCGGTCACGGGGGGGGGGCTGAGCTGGCGGTCACGGGGGGGGGGGGCTGAGCTGGAGGTCTCGGGGGGGGGGGGCTGAGCTGGCGGTCACGGGGGGTTGGGGGGGCTGAGCTGGCGGTCACGGGGGGGGGCTGAGCTGGCGGTCATGGAGGGGGGCTGAGCTGGCGGTCACGGGGGGGGGCCGAGCTGGCGGTCACGGGGGGGGGGGGCTGAGCTGGCGGTCACGGGGGGGGGCTGAGCTGGCGGTCATGGGGGGGGGCTGAGCTGGCGGTCATGGGGGGGGCTGAGCTGGCGGTCACGGGGGGGGGGGGCTGAGCTGGCGGTCACGGGGGGGGGGGCTGAGCTGGCGGTCACGGGGGGGGGGGGCTGGCGGTCACGGGGGGCGGGGGCTGAGCTGGCGGTCACGGGGGGGGGGCTGAGCTGGCGGTCACGGGGGGGGGGGCTGAGCTGGCGGTCACGGGGGGGGGGGGCTGAGCTGGCGGTCACGGGGGGGGGGCTGAGCTGGCGGTCACGGGGGGGGGCTGAGCTGGCGGTCACGGGGGGGCTGGCGGTCACGGGGGGGGGGCTGAGCTGGCGGTCACGGGGGGGGGGCTGGCGGTCACGCGGGGGGGGCTGAGCTGGCGGTCACGGGGGGGGGGCCGAGCTGGCGGTCACGGGGGGGGGGGGGGGCTCGCTCCCCCAGGGCCGGGCTGGCGTGCGCGTGCGCGAGGAGCAGTCACGCGGCAGGAGTGCGCGTGCGCAGCACCTCACCTCATGATGTGGTGCAGCCGGGGGTCTGTAAACTGGGTAGTGCGGTTATTATGATCTACAAAATAGATTCTCCCAGACACGGTGCTCCGGACTTCCCAGCCGGGCGGCAGCGGTCCAAGCTCGTCACAGTTCACACTGTTAAGGTCTCTACCAAACACAGAGGCCACGGTTTACCACCGAACGCCGGGCGGTACGACCCCAGACCCCGGGCTTCCCTACCGGCGCGGGGCCTGCCCCTGTCTGCCACGGCGCCGCTCGAGGCCGGGCAGCCAGCGGGTCGGGCGGAGCCGCAGGCCCCGTGCCCACGTCACCCCGCAACCCGAGCGGAGCTCCGCCCGGCGCCTCCCGAGGATCCTATCGCACGCGAGCCGTCACTAACCGACCACCGGCTACAGACAGGCGATGCTCCTGCGCGCATGGCGACCAGGCTCCGCCCGCGAGACCGGCCTCGGCGGCCGCCTCACTGGGGCGCTCCCGCGGGGGCGGGGCTGCGTGGGGCCGGCCCGCGCCTACCTGGGTATCCTGGGGTCGTGCCACGTGCTGACTCCCGTCTGCGTGTGTAAGAAGTACACCTGGCCCTGAACCGTTGTTCTCTGTTCTGCAGAAGGACGGGGTGAGGGAGGCGGGTCAGCGCTCTCGGCTTTCCTCCCTCCCAGCGCTGGGTGGAGCGCAGGGCCGCGCGCGCGGAGCTCCACGGCTGCCCTGGGCGCAGGACAGCTAGCTTGCGGCGGGGGTGGCGACGGCCTTGCTCCCCCGCCCCCAGCTCCCCACAAAGCCATGGCCTCGCTGCGGCACAGGCCACGCGACCGCCCCTCTCCCCGGTGCCCACCGACATCAGCAGGCCCGCCTGCCGCCTGGCTCCTCCGTGGCCTTCCTCACCCGGGGCCGGGGCACCGGCTGGCCACCACCTTCCCCCAGCCGTCCCCGGCCCCGGGGACACCGGACCCCAGGGCGGAGCCCGGTCTCACCGTAGCCTTCCGGCAGCTCTGGCGACTGGTGGCCGTGCGGTCGGTTCTGGGGTGTCTGCAGCGACCCGCGCACCTCGGGGTTCCGCAGCCGCTGCGTCTGCAGTCTCTGCTCTTGACTCGGGGATTCCGCGAACCTGCAGTTCCCACCGCCCGCCGCCGCCCCGGTGCCGTCCGTGTACGGGGCCGGCTCCTCCATGAGGCCGCTCAGCGGCCTTCCGGGCCCCAAGTCTTCATACACCGTTCTGGAACAAACGGTGCAGCAAGATGGAAACCGAGTGTCCCTAGACACACTCCCTAGAACCTTCAGGTCCCCACAAGCTGTCACGCACACTCCGTCTTCTTCAACAATCAGTGCTCAATGCTTTCATGAAAGAAAAAGGAGACAGGGAGGCGGTGGCCAGAGGGCGTCAGGGCGGCCTAGGGTAGTGCTGGCTGGCTGGCAAGACCAACAGCGCTTCCTGTCTCTTGCCGAATCAGACCAGGAAGCTCACCATTTGAGGCTAGCTAGCCTGGGCAACACATTAGGGAGACTCCATCTCCACCCACCAGCCAGGCAATTGTGCACACCTGTAATCCTAGCTAAATGGGAGTCATGGATGGGAGGATCAAAATCCAAAGCCAGTCTGGGAAAAACAGGAGGATCTCATCTAAAAAATTGAAGCAAAAAGGGGCTGGGGGTGTGGCTCAAGTGTTAGAGCACCTGCCTATCAAAGTGAGGCCTTGGTTTCAACCCAACACTGGAGAAAAACACCAACCCTGGCCGGGCACCAGTGGCTCACACCTATAATACTAGCTACTCAGGAGACTGAGATCTGTGATCAAGGCTCAATGCTGGCCTGGTGAAAGTTAAGGAGACTCATCTCCAAATTAACCACCAAAAAGCCAGAAGTGGAGCTTTGACTCAAGTGGCAGAGCTCTACCCTTGAGCAAAAAAGTTCTAGGATAGACCCCCTGACTCTGAGTTCAAATATAAAGAGTGGAACCCCACCCCCCAAAAACCAAAAAACAACCACCAACAACCCCGCACTATAAAGGGGATTGTAAAATAATATTTCATTTTTCTTGATTTCAAATCAAACCCAAACAGTACACTATTTTACTGTGTAGCAAGCCACAATGAGTCTAAGTACTTTTAAAACATGAATCTTTGTTCCCTGGGCAATTCTGAAGACTTTCATGGACCCTTTTCTCTTATTAAGCAAATGCTTAAAAAAAAATTCTGATATTGAAGTTCAAACACACACAGAAATTGGGGAACTGAGCAACCAGTCTTCCCCGCCCTGCACGCTAGTTACAGGCAGCACGCACCCTGCCTGAATCCCAGGGGGCACCCCACCGGGCTCAGGAGAGCCCAAGCTCATTCTTCCAGTCTGAAAGGAGACCCTCAAGTCCCAGTCTGTTCAGCTCTCTCCAGTTGTCTCTGATGTGACAATCACAAGCCCATGCCTGGCGTCCGGTAGAGGTCTTAGTCTTTCCTTTCTGATTTAGGTCCTCCGTCTTTCCTTTGGACTCTCAATCTTTCAGTGCACTGAAGACACTGGGCTATCTGCCCTACTCAGTAACAAGAGTGGCATAAATGCCATGCCATCTCTTGTGACGTTGGTAACAGGCACTAAGGACTGCTGCTTACGTCCATCAGTTGACGAAGAATTGTGAAACTGAGAGTGTCTTAGCCCTGCCCCTCAATAGATTTTAAAGATCCTTACTGATGCTCAAACGCCACTGGGGGAGGGGCCACGGGGGAGGCTAGCCAGGAAGATAGGATCTCACTGTGTTGTCCAGGCTGGCCCCAAACATGTGACCCTACTACCTCACCCTCTACAGTACTGGGATTATAGGCATGCACCACTATACCTGGCTAACCTGTCACAGCTCTGGTTGGGGAGAGCTTTCCTAAATCGGATCCTTTCTAAATATATAGGCTGGATCGAGTTTTCTCCTGAAGCCTGTGAATGCATCTTGTGACACAGGCCGAGAGCCTAAGGAGCAGAGAATTCCTAAGGAGCTGGGGTCAGCGTGGTCAGCGGTGGTATACATACCCTTCATTTTCTAGCAGTCCCCTGCAGTCCACCACTGACCCTCCAGAGCCTATCCGGTCTCGCGTCTGTAAACTGACTAGAAGAGAACAGTGGTGTGCATTAGCATCCAGGGCTGCGGCAGAACCCACGTGTGCCCTCCGATCTCCCCACAGCAGCGCAACACTACCACTTGGGGAAGCTCTGGACAGGTGCCGCGTTTCTCATGCTCCCCAGAAAGCAGCACAAGGCAGTACAAAGTTCCTTCAAGGCGCCAATGCCTTAAGAAGCTGTGACTCAGGTTTCATAAGGACATACAGCACTTGCAGGTCCAGAAGTGAAGATCGAACTAAATATTTATGCTCTGAATTCACTATGAGCAGAGATGTTCATAAAGCTGGTCCCCTGCCCCCTGCCCTCCCCCCACCCCCAGCACACCCCTCCACAGGAAGGATGGGGCTCAGGTGGAAGACGAGTGGGGCCCTCTTCATCATCATTTTCAGGATGGGTTCACTCCATGCATTTGCTTCAAGCCAGTGACAGAGTTACTTGTGCTGCCGTGAGACATTTCCAGTCCTCTGCATTCCCCTAGAATCCTAGCAGGGTGAGCAATGGGATGCGCTAGGTGACAGGGCAGCCCTGTCCTTGAAATGCCTCTAGCCAACACTGTAACCCTGACTCTCACAGTGCCGGGTCTTCATTACAGAGGATCTTGTCCATAGACAATGCGGCTGCCCGAGGAACCTGCCCCACTCCCGCACAGGTGGCCACTCTTCTTACCACCCATTCGCCCGAGCCCTTCTGCAGAAGAGCCTTATTCACTCCTTGGATTAATGGATAAAGTGCCCGGAGAGGAGAAGGGTGAGGCAGAGATGGCCACCTGTGCCTGCTGGGGGGAGGAGGTCAGCCTCAGAGGTGGAGAGCAAGCCAGGTTCTTTAAGAGCAGCCTTTAGACAGATGAGTAGATTCTTACCCACTATTTGGCCACGAACTGCATCAGAATCTGAGGGATTTAGTTTGCACAAATCCAAACGCTGGTCTGAAAACAAACAATGCAAAACTTTACCCAAGGGAAGGGCTCTAGGGAGAAAGGCAGGGATTCAGCCATCAGCATTCAAAAAGCAAGACAAAACCAAAGGAGAACTACAAAGCCAGGCACCGATCTGATTAACCAGCTTTTTAGCTGGAAGTGGAGCTATGGTTCAAGTAAAAGAGCGCCAGCCTTGAGTGCAAAAGCTAAGGAACAGCTAGCTCCCAGGCCCTGAGTTCAAGCACAAGGACCAACACCAGAGGGAGAGGGGGAGAGAAAGAAGGAGAGAGAGAGGGAGAGGGGGGGGAGGAGTGAGGGAGGGAGGGAAGGAGGGAAGAAAGAAGGGGAGGGAGGGAAAGAGGGAGGGAGGAAGAAAAGAGGAGAAAAGAAAAGAAGAGGAAAGCAGCTGCGCTGAGGTGGGCGGGGAGGTGCTGCTTCTTACAGCCAGTGTCTTTCAATCTGCTGATGGCATTGGAAAGCAGCCGCACACAGCCCAGGAAGCCCGCTCCCTGCTTCTTGTGAATCTTCTTGTGGTTCCACACGCTGATGGTTATAGAATCTGTTTTCCCAACGTATCTGCACAGAACATGCAAGTCATGTCAAACTCATGACTGTGAGTTAGAACCATTTCATTGAATTCCATCCCGCAAGGCTTAAGAAGCTGCACAAAATAATGCTGGCACTCCAGCTGGATGAGGCTGAGGTTTACTGTGTTCTACAACTTCCGCACGACAGTGACATCCACGCTGCTACCAATCAATTTGCAACAAGGGACTCCTTAGAAACACACAACTCCACCCCAAGCACACCAACCCACAAGCAGCTACTCAGGAAACTGGCAGGACAAAAATTGGTAACCACTTTCTAAGCCATTTCTGTGGCCTTGCGTGTCACTGAAAGGAAATCTCATAATAAAATCACTAGTCACACCGTGTTACTTTGATGAAAATCTGCAAGCACAGCTACGAAAGAAAGGTGGTCTATAAAGTGCAATATTCAAAGTACAATCCACTGTTTTGGAGGAATATATAAAATTGGTTGTTGCGAGATTAGGTATATGTTTGGCTAGGCAAAACTGTGCTTTCTCCTATAGAAAATAATTCTGTACTAAAACAACATTAAGAAAACGATCACAAAAGAAACACAGGCCCCATGGTTTCCCTTATTTACAATAACTAGTATATGTCTAGGACAAGCAAAAAAGGTCAAAAGCTATGTACATATGACCATACAAGATGATGTTAAGTGAAGTGAACCCCAAGATAGGGACCCAAGTGGTTTTTTCTTTCTTGCTATTGTTTTTAACATATTTATAATGTACTATGTGAGTTTTTTGGGGTTTTTTGGTATGCTTTTCCTCCACAGAATAACTCCTGTTTTCACTGTATTTGATTCTGGTGCCCTGCATCTTGCATATACATTCTTCTAATTTGGGGAGGGGAAAGGAAATAACAAAATGCTTAATTAAGGATACAGGTAGATCCATTCTAACAATGAGATGTTCAAGACACTATTGAAAATGAACTTTACAATGTCGGCTGGGGGGAGGGAGGAGTTGTGGAGGTGAGGAGGGAAGGGATAGTAGGAGAAAAACAAAGGAGAAGGTAACAATGCTCAATAGGAAATGTACTCATTACCTTACTCATGTAACTGTAACTCCTCTATACAGTATTTTTACAATCAAAAACATAAAAAATAAACATTGCTTTTTAAAACAGAAAAAAGAAATCAGGAGGCAGAGATAGGAGGATGGTTGGAGGACAGCTCAGGCAAGTTAGCAAGGCCCTATCTGGAAAATAAGCTGGGTGGGGCAGTACTCACCTGTAATCCTAGCTTAGTACTAGAGGTACAGCTAGGAAGCTCACAGGTCAAAACTGGCCTGGGTAGAAGCCTTATAAGACCCTATCTGAAAAAAAAACTACTAAAACCAAAAGGGATGGGATGCATGGCTCAAGTGATAGAACACTTGCCTAGTAAGCTGGAGGCGAGGAAGTCAAACACCACTATCACAAAAACAAACACAAAAAAAGAATAAAAACAAATATGGTCATAATAATGTAGTTTTAGGTAAGAACTACAACCAAGTTTGTGATTTCAGTGAAAACACAGCATGTCAGAGACACGAACTTCAGTCCTTCTTTCTGCCAAATGATTATGGGAAGGAAAAGTTTGAGTTCAGTTAAGTTAGGGAGAAAAATCCCAAAATTAACTAACTAACTAACTGAGGTGGGGGAGGAGAGATGGGGAATCAGACAGAAGTGTAGACGTGAATACAATCAAAGCACATTATGTGCATGTATGGGAATGTCATGATGACTTCCCTCACTGCGGACAGTTTGGTACATGCCAATACAAATATTTATGGGAATGTCAAAGGCAAACATTTCCAAGTACACGAACAGAAGGATTAGGCAATATGTGTTCATTTGCCCATATATATTTTTCTTCTAGTACTGGGGATCGAGCCCAGGGCTCCCCAGGCAAGTGCTTGACACCACTAAGCGATACCCTCAGCCGGGGGGGGGGGGGGGGGTACACGCGCGTAAGCACGCACTCACAGGTATAGGGGACTTGCACTCAGGGCCTGGGTGCTGTCCCTGGGCTTTTTCATTCAAGGCTAACATTACCATTTGAGTCATTGCTCCACTTCTGGGTTTTTGCTGGTTAATTGGATATAGGAGCCTCATGGGCTTTCCTACTCAGGCTGACTTTGAACCATGATCCTCAGCTCTGTCTCCTGAGCAGCCAGGATTATAGGTATGAGCCACCGGTTCTGGGTCTTGGCTCTTTTTAAAGTTTTAAGTTACCCAAGCTGGCTTCAGACTGTCAACCCTCACGGCTCTGCTTCCTGAGTAGCTGGGGTACAGGCTGGGCCCCCCATGCCAAGCTCATCATCCACTTTGTTTTCAATAAAGGTTTGCAATCCATTGTTTTCCTTTCTTTTCAAAATGCTTCTCCTTCAACACTCAGCCCCTGCTTCTAGCTCTCCCCAAACAGCGGGCAGGATATTCAACTCACAGGTCGTAGTGCTGATTCCACTTTGGGTCCAATGTGTTTTTCACAGTGTCGGTCGAGTGGCACTGCCCAGAGCCATCCACAACAATCTTAGCGAAGGGGTCAGGGAGTCCTGAAGGAAAGAGGACAGCGATGCCCAGATGAGACCAGGAGTCTAGTCGTCCAGTAAAGTAAAGCAAGGGAGGCATATCATTTAGCTTTCTAGGGGATACCGGTAGGCCTCACTCTTACAGGAAAGGCAACTATAGAAATAGGCTCCATCCCATCTCTCGATGAGCTTATTAATGGTAGCAGGACCACTATGTGGAGAACAGGTATGTATACACCCTCAAAAGTCATTGCTCCCAGAAATCTTGCTTGCTGGTGCTGGTCTGTCTTGCCTATGGAAGCAAGCCTTCACCAAGTCCTAACTCCAAGTCCTCAAGCACTGATAGGAGCAGAAATCTGGCAGACAGGTGGTGAGCAGGGAGCTAGGAGCTTTCTAGATACTTGGATAAAGCCGTTGAGCCGAGTCTCTTCATCCTCTGAGTGTGAGTAATCCCACTGAAGTTAGGAGTCTGGGGGATCAGCAAGCGTGAAGGACTGAATGCTGCTGGCCCTGACTTTATGCTGTTGAGTGTAGGTGAAGTTCTTACCTTAAGGAGTGAGGTTTTCCTTTAGGAAGGAATCCTTTCCTTATTTTTATAGTTCCCTTAATTGCAGGGTTTTGAAAGTGAGATTGTTTGTAAAACTGGATTTATGATTTTAGTCAAAGCAGATGTTTTATAGAAAAGTGTGTCATGTGAGTTTGCATGGAGAGCCTCCAGCCAGCAGGAAGCAGTCAGTGACCTAGTGTCTAGTCACAGGAATATAGGGAAGTGGGTGTGGCTAAAGGTCCATCCAGGGCGGGGCGGGAGGAGGTGTGGCTGGTGGGGGAGGAGAGGCAGGTGTTGCCCAATCAGCTGGGAGATGGAGACTTTTAGGAGACTGTACTCAACGGGATTTTTAAGTTTAAGATTTCAGAAATACAAAAACAAGTGTTTACTTACTGAAAAAGTCTTTCTTTGCAAGGTTCTTGGCACACAATACTAAAAACAAACAAAAAATACTAAGATTAACATTTATGGACAAGATTTTCACCACAGCTATGGAGGGAAAGGATTGCAAAAATTCTCAGCCAATGATCTATCTTCTAAATTTAGTATCCCATGAACAAAAACTCAGCTCTGATCTAAAATGTAGTTTCTCAACAGGGACCAACTACAGCAAATCTAAAATACTTTAGTTTAAATCTTAAACACACAAAGATGGATTTATCAATCTGTCCTTTGACTACATAGGAGCACATGAAAAACAAATACCTTCAATCTGTGTGAAGCATTTATTTTTACTGCAACTGCTAACAAGAACGTTTTGATATTTTGATAAGTAATCATTTATGTGTATGTATGCTATTACAAATAGAATTATTAGCTAGATGCTGGTGGTTCATTCAGGTCTACAATCCTAGCTGCTCGGGAGGCTGAGATCTAAAAATCATAGTTCAAAGCCAACCTGAGTAGAAAAGACCAAAAAACTTTTATCTCCAATTAGCCATCAAAATCTAGAAGTGGGGCTGTAGCTCAAGTGGTAGAATGCCAGCCAAGCAATGAATGTGTGGCCCTGAGTTCCAGTCATAGGACAACCAAAAAATATTTGGAGTTTTCCTAATTTTACCTTCAGACTATTGATTGTGTACAGAGAGCTGAGTTTTGTATATACATCATATGCCTTACAAGCTTGAATGTGATTTATTAGCTCTCATACTTCTTTTCTGGATTCCTTTCTTTTCTCCATGTAAGATGGCATCATCTAAAGGTAACTTTCGCGTCTTCCTTTCTAACTTGAACGCCTAGCTGCTCATCCACATATGCCATGCTGCTCGTGGGGTGGGAGCCTTCCAAAAAAGATACTGGTATTCAGGCTTTGAATCAGTTGAGTCTCAAGCCAGCTTGGGGTGGGGGGTGTTCGTTATTGATGAGGATCCTTTATGCTGCCAGTTGGCATTTTTTTTATTGTTGTTTCTTATCATGAAATGTAGTGAGACTTTGTTATGCTTTTTCTGCACTCACTCAAGAGATGCTTGTTGGGTGTTTGCCTTTATCTGTTGATATGGTACTGACTGGTTACTTTTGTTGTCTTCCACGGAGTCTGACACTTCTGCTCCTGGACTGTTGCTCTACCTCTTGTGTCAGGCCTCCAACCCCTGGCCTAGTATTAGTACTGGGCCACCTGCATTCTGAGATCACTTCTGCTTGGTCCTGGAGCAGCACTCTTTCAATATGCTACTGTACTTGGCTTGCTAGTGTTTGGTTGAGGAATTTCACATCCAGATTTAGAAGAGACAGTGGTGTTCTATGTAGTTTGTCTTTGTTCTGTTTGTCTAGTTTGGACTTCAGAGTCATATTGGCCTTACAAATTTGAGTCGTGGAATATTGTCTATTTTTTTTTTTAAGTTTCTGGGGACTGGTATTCATTCTCTTCGGTGTGTGGGAACAAGCACCGGTGATGCCTTGCTTGCAACTCCACTCATCTGACCTCCACTCTGCTATATAGGGCCATTCCAACTTCGCGCGTCTCCCTCTGTCTCACCTTGGAAGCTGGTGGATTGCCTCTAAGCTATGTGAGCTGTTGTGTTGATGGGACTCCTGTGGTGAGGAGTGATATGTTTTCCTTGCGGCCGCCCAGGCTTTGTGTGGACAGACCACTATCTATTTTTTTTTTTTTTGGTCAGTCATGGGGCTGGGGCCAGTCAGAGCCTGAGCACTGTCCCTGAGCTCATTCGTTCAAGGCTAGCACCACTTTTGAGTCACAGCTCCACTTTCTGGTTTTTAATTGGAGTTAAGAGTCTCACACACATTCCTGCCTGGGCGGGCTTTGAACAGGGATCCTCAGATCTCGGTCTCCTGAGTAGCCAGGATTACAGGCGTGAGCCACTAGCACTGGCTTCAGACCACAATTTACTGCAACCTCCACTGATGTTTTGGTTGCTTCTCTAGGGACGACATGCTTGAAGCTGGGGAGAGGCAGGACTAGGAAGTGCCAGCATCTGCCCCACCGGTCTCATACACACCATTGTTGTGTTTATTTTTATTAGCTTGGATTAGTTGTACATACACTGCTTATTCCCACACAGGCTTCCGGTGTGCTCAACCAATCTCACTGTCGGCCACTGTCCCTGCTCCCCTCATGCATGCCTATTTCTTTCACTACACTTGGGGATCATTTGAATAAGCTTCAAAAAAGATGACCTTATGAACTTGAGAGAGGAATTCTGACCTGGTCACAATATATCGAGTGTTCTCATGCTTAAATGTGGCTTATTGACGAAGTCGATCTTTAAAGCCTTTCCATGAGGTTTTCAAGTGTTTCAAGTCTTGTGTGTACTAGCGCCCACCTCCCAAGCACCAGGTGCTCCTCCTCCTCTCACTCACCCGCAATGTGCCCACTCCTCGGCCCTACCAAGCTCCCAATGCCAGTCCTAAGGGCCAGTCAAGACAAGGGTCACCACCTCCCCGCCCCCCATGAAATTCTACAGTGCCTTCCCGTTGCTAAGCTCCAGATCGGGGGACAATCTGACCCCCCCCACACACACCTCACTTCAACAGCAGTGGGCCCTGGGAAGCCAATGCTAGAGTGCTTCTAAACAGAATCATGCTAATGTCATATCTCAAAAATACTCATCTTTTTCAACTTCCAGGGCAGGCAGTGTGTCGCTGCCATGCTCCAGAGATTATGTCATGACAAAGAGAAGGTCTCAGCACAAAGCAAATGTTGCCTCAACTTTGTAAAAAGGTCATTTACGGTCATCCTGAATCTAACTTAAAAGCATGTGATTTATCCTATGAAAATAACTTTATAATCTTGAAAAAAATCCCTTGTTCTTGCTAGGAGGGTAATGAATAAAAGCTAATTCATTCCATGGTATAAATCCCTCGTTACATAGCTCTGCCACAGAAGTGAGTTCAGCTTCAATGGATGCGAAGTTCTGGGGCTACAATTAAGGTCAGAGACCTGGCCTACTTTTCAGGGCAGGCCTGGCATAGTTACTGCACCCCAGCTCCCAAGTGCCCCTTGACCATGGCCAGTCCCATCTTGTACAGTCTCTGCTTTTCTAACCACATCCCATGGTCAGGGTACGTGGCGCAGCACTCCCGGCACATGGGCCCGCAGGAGGCTTGCTCCAGCAGAAGAGGCACTCAAGTACCAATGCTCCTCACCACTTCTGACCTCTGAGCCTAGAACCCTGGCTGTAAATATGTCACATTATGTCTTGTTTAGAGACAGGGAGGGTCTCATTACAAAGGCAAGATGCCCTGGAGCTCACGATCCTCCATCAGCCTTTTTTTTTTTTGGGGGGGGGGGGGGTTGGGAGGGGGTGGTCCTGGGCTTGAGTACACGCCCTGGGTGCTGTCATTGAGCTGCTTTTTATTCAAAGCTAGCTAGCACTTTACTTGAGCCACTTGTAGTTCTGACTGTTTTTTAAGTAGTTGGTTTGGAAATAAGAGTCTTATGAACCTTCTTGCCCAGGCTGGCTTTGAACTGTGATCCTCGGATCTCAGCCTCCTGAATAGCTAGGATTACAGGAGTGAGCCACCAGCACCTGCCTCTTTTTCTTTTATGTAGGTGTCAGTTCTTATAAATGTCTCTTGATTCATCCTGTCCTTTAAGTCACTCTCCTGTTCTTAGTGCCATCTAATCATGACAATGCCTTCCCTGGCCGAAATCCACTGCAAGGTCAATTAAATAGGTAGATTTAATTAGGTAGCCGATAAAGAGAACAGGGTATTCAGGCAGGAAGAGAAGTTTATTGTATTACTGTACAGCTTCCCACATGGTGCATGGTGGAGAGAGAGCACATGGCCAAAGGGGCCAGAGAGTTGTTTTGCCCAGTCTTAAGTAGGGAAGGGGGCGGGGAGAAGGTGTGATCAGGGAAGGTATGGCACCATGGATTTGGACATGACCTCAGAGCCTCCCCTCCCAGTCTGATGGAAGGCAGCCCAGGATGAGACTGGGGGTGGGGGGGGGGGGGGGAGGGCCTCCAGGTGTGCCAGTTACTTAGGAGACAGGTACTGGGTGGAAACTTAGCCAAGAGGAGGGAGTCGTCCTGCCTTCTCAGGGTGGACCTTACATCCACAAGATGCTTTCTTCTTTTCTGACACAGAATCTCCCTCTCCTGCCTAGATTGGCCTCAAACCCCTGGACTCAGCAAAGCCTGCCTCTGGGACTATAAACACAGTTGCACTGTGTCATGTTCAATATTGTTACTTTTTTTAAGGAAAAAAAAAAAAACGAAAATACCTTGTTTCCATTTCCTGGAATGTTATTCTTGTTTTGGGATATGTAGCCTAGGCTGGCCTTGAACTACTCCTGCCTTAGCTGCCCAAGTGTTGAGATTACAGGTGTACACAACCATGTCCAATCACAAATTTGTCTTTTGAGATGACATTTTCATGCTCTAATGACTGTATCATATTTACTGCAATCCGTAAATCTCTTTTCCACTGGCTATTTGTAAGATGAGGCATTGCTAATACATGCCTACAATGTCTCCTGTTGTGCTTCCCTCCTCACTAGGATGACAGGCATGCAGACAACCATTGACTCAGCAGAGCAACTGGATGGCTTGGATGCCGTTAAAGACAAAACGCAAGTCCTTCCTTATCAGTGTCAGCAGCGAAATCTCATCAAACGCTCCCTAGGCAGTGTACTGTCCATGCTGGTCACATTCCTGCTGCATTCTTCTCACTGACCAGAAAACTGAGGCTGGACTCTTCTACCACAGTCCGTTAGAAAAAAAATGTGAAAAGGTGCCAGTGGCTCACACCTGTAATTCTAGCTACTCAGGAGGCTGAGGGCTGAGGATCATGGTTTGAAGCCAGCCCAGGCAGAGAAGTCCATGACACTCTTATCTCCAATTAACCATAAAAAGCCAAAAGCAGAGCTGTGGCTCAAGTGGTAGAACACTAGCCTTGAGTACAAAGCTTAGGGGCAGCAGCCAAGCCCCTGAGTCTAAGCTCTAGGTAGATAGATGGGAGGTGGGGAGTGC